TATAGACAAAATCATTCAAGCGAGAAAGAATGCCCAACGCTTGCCTTTGCCACCCGGCCCCCGAGGCTATCCCATCATCCAGAATATGTTCGACCTTCCCAAAAAGGACACATTTGCAGCCCCTCAATATGCAAAGTTCAAGGATAAATATGGTGAGCATGAACACTGCAAAAAGTAAACACTGCGCCTAACCACTATCGGACCTCAAAAAGGTCCCATCACCGCTCTTAGGATCATCGGAAAGCCGTTCATCGTCATCAATGATCCTCAGGTCGCCCTAGATATCTTGGAGAAGAAGTCCGCTGAGTTCTCATCGAGACCAAGCTTGACATTTATTGGTGAATTGTACGCCTTGGTCATCCTCGAAATCCTTCGGTCTTCCGATATCGCATCGCGTCTAACAGCATTCAAGGGTTGGTTGGGACAAAGCGACGGGCGGCATACCTTACAACGAAATCTTCCGCCTCCATCGCAAAGTCTTTGCTCGCATCATCGGAACTAAAACAACAGCAGCGCAATTTGATGACCTTCAGGAAGCCGAGGTCGGTCACTTCCTGCTGCACGTTCTTGACAACCCGGGAAATCTGAAAGAACATATCCACAAGTAGGTAAAACTCGTGTTCATGCGCTGGAAACGACCGCTAATATGCTTGAACTTTAGGGAGGCTGGCACTGTGGCGCTGAAAATTGCCTATGGCTATAATGCCGACCAGTTCAAGAAGGATCCCCTCCTCAGCAAGATGAATAAGGTGATGGACGACTTCGCACGGTCAGCCGTTCTTGGACGTTACTTAGTTGACTTCTTCCCGATATGTAAGTTAGTTAAAGGTTATTTAATTTCTTGTGTTACAGTTGTGATCTAATACACTGAAAACCCATAGTGAAATACCTCCCTGATTGGTTCCCGAGTACTGAATGGAAAAGACAGGCCAAGGAATACCGGGCCGATTTCCTGGATGCCGTTGAGAGACCTTATAGGTTCGTTGAGACTCAAATGGCCGAAGGCAGAGAAAACGTCTCCTACCTCGCCAAGGCGATGGCTACCAGCGAGGACACTCCAGAGGACGTACACAACAACATGTGGACAGCGGGTTCGATTTTCAGCGGCGCCGCTGATACGGTAAGCTCCTCAACTTTCTAAGCACAACCTTAACAGAGGGGATTATGGGCCTAGGCTGACCGTTATCAGTCTGTGGCGTCGGTAAATGCTTTTTTCCTCGCAATGGCCAAGTTTCCCGAGGCACAAAAGAAGGCGCAGGAAGAAATCGACAGAGTAGTTGGCAGTGATCGCCTGCCTACGGTCAGCGATCGCGACAACTTACCATACCTTGAAGCACTCATCAAGGAAGTACTACGGTGGCATACAATTGCGCCGATGGGTCTTCTTCACATGAGCTCTGAGGAGGCTTCGTACTCTGGCTACCGAATTCCCAAGGGTTCCCTCGTGCTCTGCAATATCTGGTGAGTATCTCGACTCCAATAACAACTTGGTTTCGTTTCAATCATTCAGGATACTTTATTGACGCGATGCATGAACAGGTGGTTTATGCACAACCCAGAACTCTACAAGAACCCCTTCGAGTTTCGACCCGAAAGGTTCCTGGGAGCCGAACCAGAGACTGATCCACGCAGATACGTGTTTGGGTTCGGTCGCCGCATCTGTCCTGGCAAGATCCTTGCCGACAACTCGCTTTACCTCAACTTTGCCCAGTCGTTGGCTGTGTTCGACATTGGCAAACCAGTTGCCAACGGTCAAGAGTACGAACCAGAGTTCAAGCCGTTACCAGGGGCGATTAGTCACGTAGCCCCTTACGAAGCAACGATTAAGCCTAGGTCGCCCCGTCATGAACAGTTGATCCGTTCCATCGAACAGAGGTTTCCTTGGCAGGAGTCGGATGCAAAGGGATTGGAGGCAGTGTAGGCCCCGATTTGTGAGGGTATGTTCATGATTGCGCACAAGAACCTGTGATCCGAATCAGTTGCACATATATATAGAACAATGAGGGCATTCACCCCCGTTCATGTTTATGTGAGGTTTTGACATCCGACGCAAACTATCTGCGGTCATCGATTCGCAAAACAGTTACACCATAGGAGGAGGGCATCGCGGGAGGCCCAAGGGTCGATCATATTCAACGGCGGATGATCGCGGTGGAGAACCCGCTCAATATGGCATTTTAGGGAAGAGAGAATCTGCATGTCTCGTAATACGAGGGTTGCAGCGACATGGTCCTAGTCTGGTACAGGCGCCTGGGCGTCTCGGACACCCGGTGGGAGGCTGTCAACATATTGGGCGGTCGTGCGGAGAATCCAACGAGCCATACATGAACGACGTTTGGCCGCTATCCACCTCGAGAACAGAATGAACTACCATGGAACAATGCATGTAAGTTGAAATCGACACGAGGGTTAATTAGCCCTGCATATGGGCGTCTCGCGGGAGCGACCTCATCGCGTCGCCAAATCTTCCCAAAACACAATCCCAAAGTAGCAACTCGGCAAAGGAACCCCCTGCAATTGCCAACTGCTGAATGTTTGAATTGACCTTGGATGTAACATTTTTTACGCGATTGTGGGGAGACTCTGAGACGACAGCATGGTTGTCTCGAAAGCCGAAGAATAAGGAAACAGGGGTGTTCGTCTCAACTGCCACCTCCGCCTCCTGATTCGTCTCATCTCTACCAAGAGTTGCAATTGACCCCTAATAAGCTTGATCCGATTGATCTGCATGAGAATCTTAAAAGAGCCGCTGTCCCGTCATGTTTGCATCTGGGTTGATCTCTGGTCAACAACCTGCGAGCGGTAAATTCACTTCAATCTGTCAATTTTTGTGAAACAATCCTGGCCGGCCAGACTTTTGCGAGCGTCGCTTTCCAATCGCTACATACCAACCCGAAAATCAACACCTCTCTCTCCATCTCACGCCAAAATGAAGTTCCAGGCTATCCTCATCGCCCTCGCGAGCATCATCTCCGTCTCTATGGCCGCGCCTACGCCGGCAGAGTCGGATTCTGTCCCCGCTAAGGAGAACAGCGGTGGTCGCACTGTCTTGGATGGTGCTCAATGCAGCCCTGTGCAGGGCCGTCTCGTTTGCGATGATGGCTTCGGAAACACCTTGTAAGTCCTTGAGCATTGTTGATGAGAAGATTGATCGCTGACCATGCATAAGCTTTGCCGACGACCCGTTTTCCTCTTAGAGATCCCAAATGAAGAAAATTCTGTAACATTGTTACCTAGAAAATTGGGAAATAGTCCATGTTACGATGCATCTGGACGGCGTGAGGCCTGGAAATGAATAGATTATTAATGTTGAAGGATCTGATTTGACGGGAAAATGCACCTATTGAGAGCATCTCCTTATCGAGGCAGGTGTAGATCTCCACGTGACGATGATGGACTCCACCGCATGAACCTGGGGCGCAGGGATCTCATCTCGCTTACCGCGTTCATGACGATGCTGTTCGGCCGAAGTGTCACCAACCTATTGATGTAAAGCTTTTGCTTGGAATCTTCTGACTAGACTTCATCTATCCTTCCTTTATGTTGCAGTATCAAGCGTCGTAATCGGCATGGCGTCATTGGTCAATTTGCCTGGCGAGCTACACCATCTCATATTCTCCCACTTTTCCACGGACACGAGAACCCCGGATGGCGGTGAGAGCGCAGAGTTCGGACAAAACCGCGCTGGCATCCACACTTTAACCCTTCTCTCACGGACCTGCCGCGGTCTCAACCACGCCGTCAAGCCATACCTCTACGCGGAAGTCAATCTTGGGTCACAAAGTAGCCGGAAACTCATTGCCTTGCTCAGACACTTCGTCAACGACCCATACTCGGGCAGCTGTGTTCGATGGGTGCGTATTGACTGGGATGGCCTCCTTTGCCAGAAATTTGATTGCAGTGATCAAGAAGCCAACTTCCTTGCCGATGTGGCAAAGAACCTCCATTTAGACGTACCGCCGGCTCCGCCTTGGTACTCTGCAGACTGGAGAAATGGCTTCTTGGCGGGCATGGTGCTTCTCAAGTCAAGCGGTGTTGAACTTGTTGACATCGAAGGATACAATCAAAGCTTCTGCTCTAGTATTCCAAAACAGCCCCCCCGGCTCGAACTTCGCCATTTCACACAATTCAATCATGCATTGCATACTCGGACAACTAAATCGACGAGAGATTTGTACCGCCTCATCAATCTTTCGCCTCATCTCCAAGGCTTCCGCTCAGCTGAGTACCTTCCGGCTAATCCCTTTGATATCGATTGGTCTGAAGTCACCACCCTGGTTCTGGAAGAAAATGAACTCAGCGGCGGGACTTACTATTATTATGTATCGACGGCGGCACTCGTCGACATTTTGCGATCGTGCCAAAAGCTGCATCATGTACGGATCAAGCCGACAGAGAATAATGGCCCAGCCCCAATCGTCCGAACACTTGAGAGATTTCACAAGGACACCTTGAGAAAACTCGCCCTTGTATCATTCCCTCGGGAGGGAAAAGACTTGGACATTTCATTCAGTGCCTTCAGCGCACTCGAAGTTCTCGAAATTCACGGCAACATTTGCAAACCTGGGTTCGCCCTAAGAGGTCTCCCTCATTCACTCCAAGAGCTGCGACTGGACGGTGACTTTCACGGTGTTCGAGAAGACTTCGAAATCTTTACTTCGGAGTTCACGGATGGGTCTTATCCTCGTTTCGAAACAGTCAGGTTTCAGCCCATTTATTCTTGCTTTCATGACAATTGCCCATTCATAATGGATGGCCATGTAACTCTGGAGGACATGGTCCAATACAGAGATTGGCATTTTGATGAGGCTGAAGCCGAAGAATATGAGGGAGGAAAATGCAAGACACAATGGGAAATAATCTACGGGCTTGTCAATGCGGGAGTTAACGTCTGGGTTGACTGAACACAAAATTGGAAGATTTCATGGCAACTAATCAATCATTGAACTACACATCAACAGACTCTGACCACGAAAACGTCGACTATTGTGGTAACAAATTTACCTTCCCATCCAAGCTTTGTCTATCATCTCTTCGACACTGACTGGGCGTATGTCCGGATACTTGTGATTCATTCGCTTTTGTTTTGGCATCTCCATCAGGTGACGGACGATAAGCCGCCCGAAGAAGGATGTCATCTGCTTCATTACAGCTGCATCTCCCTCCAAATCTTCCAAAAGAGTGGCATCATCGTTTTTCAATTTCTCCTCGCTGTCATAGGTCACGTCGAAGATGCCCCTTGCCGCAGCGAGTTAGTTCCCATGTACATGCCAGTAGGCTTGTATTGCAAAGTACCAACCTCGAACATCTTGAATCTTGGCTAAGGCTTCATTCAAGGTCACATCGGAACCGACTACGATGCTGTACTCAGGCCAGTCCTCGGATTCGAGCGAACGGACAATGAAACGTGCCACGTCGTTCGAGTGAGTCAAGCTGATGACATCGTTGCCAGAGCCGGTAATCACAGCACGCCGATTTTGGACGTCGATGGACCACAGAAGTGGGGATAAGTGACTGTGGAAGTGAGGCATCCCCCAGTAGTCCATCAGAAAGCCGTTTACAAAGCGGGTGTACTGCAAACGAGAATCCTTCAGCCTCTCGGCAGTCGTGATCCACGGTGTCGTAAAAGGCTCATCAATGACGTCTCTAGCGTTGATACGTCAGCTTCAAAGGCGCTGATATGGAAACCCGTAGCTTAGTTCTTACTGGGGCCTATTGAGAATTCCGAACTCACTGGGCATAAAACGCCGGGTCGTTTTTGATGCTTCTGCCGCATCAATCAAGTTGAGTTGTGACTGGAACGAGTCCTTGGAATCCATGGAGATGGTGCTGATGATTGTTTCGATGTTGTGCGAGTCCAGGACTTTGACCAAGGATTCCACGTTCTCGTAGTCAACCTGGACTAGAGCTGGATGGAATGATGGTGCATTATTCTAGGTAAGTGTCAGCGGCATTCACGAACCAATATTTGGAGTCACTTTGACTACCCTTCGACTCAAAATAATGAACGGATGTTTTCTGGTAAGCTGAATTTGTTCAACGATAGCCTTACCCATGCCACCTGTACCACCAGCAACTGCTATCATACCCATTTTCACGATTGGATAGACTGAACAGACGGATGAAATAGTACGGCGAGATCCTCATACCCTAGAAGTCGTTCCACGATGCGGTCTGGGCACTTGTCTTTATACCTCAACAGCCATTCGTTGCATGCACATCACTCGACCGGATCGGCTGAATTGATTACAAATAAGCCCCTCAAAATTCAGATTCCATGGGTGCATGCTAAGAATAGTGGCAATGAAATGAAGATGTCGGCACTCTCGGCCGCCGCCTCCCACATGTACCGTTCGTTGCCGTGACCAAATGTTCACTCGCCTGTACAGCGGGGCCAGGTGATGTCCGCTTCAGTACATTCATCGGCGGCCAAGAAAGTTCGGAAATGTCCACATAGTAAAGCGAGACTTTACTAGAGACTTAATTGCTGATAGATTCAAGTGAATGGTAGTTTCCCCCTTCCCGATGTTCAAGCATTTCCCAATCCAATTAAACCCGAGTTTCTTGTTCAAGACCTTTAATAATCCTTTACTCCTCGTCATGCCAACATGGATGCACTAGTCAATAATCACAGAGAGTTCACGAAATTGAAACCGACGATCCCCTCTGCCACTGCATTGTCCATTTCGGCCCTGGGGAATATCGAAACCCTTCTCCCGATGATGCCATCGTCTCCAACTTGTAATGAGATCGGCTCGTTCAGGGCAAGCTCCAAAGTCGAGCCGTCTTCGAGTACGGATGCATTGGAAAAAGCGAGTTGTTGGAAGAGGCCACAATCCTGGGGTCTTTTGGACAGATCACCGGACTTGCTGTTGCACAGATAACACATTAGCTTTGTGTACCCTTGACTCCGGATTTTCTTTGGCTGTTGCAACTTACTGGATAACAACGACGACATCCGACAACGTGGGTAAGTCATGATCTCCTCCGCTAGTGATCCTTGCATGTGTAGCGAAAGGACTGCTCGGCTTCCCTGGTGTGTGGAACGAAAGGTCGCCTCGGAGTTTGCAAAGTGAAGTTGGCGAGCTTGGCTGGCAGAATGGCTGGTTGAGCACGGCGAGCGCGCCACCTCGAGGCTTGGTGCAAGTATCTGGGCCGCACATGGTCAGATTTGGGTTGTCTGAAAACAAATCTTCGGGACTACAATGAGAAATTTCTGATGAAATCTTGTAAAAGAAAGAAACAGAAAGGACAATTTTCAAGAGGCTGGAATAGTCAGTATTTCAGCAACATCTAGACCAGCTCAAACTCCCTCAAGGTCCTCATCCCTTTCATAACCCCTGTCATCCCAAAACGAGCGCGAACGGGACCGGCCCGGGGCCTCTCCACACGTCAACTAACAATAGCGGAGCCAATCATAATCATCCATGAGCTCCAGAACAGGGAATCTGGATGAGCAAGTTAGAGCAATATTGATCAGGTAATGCCCGCGTGCATTGTGCACGATCGCCAGGTGAGCAAATCTCATCCAGAACAGCTGAACTATGAAGAAATCGTATCACAAGATGTATCGTGATTGACGTTTTATTTCAAAAAAGCTGGTCATCGTCCCCACCATCTCCATGACTCTAACCCATGCACCCCGTTGAGTGGCCGAGACCAGGTCTAAGTCCTACGGCAGCTCGCGGCCATCAAGGTGTCCGTCACATCATCGGATTCGACGGAGGACATCCCCATCATTGCCGAGATGATGAAATGTGCTCAGTACCCCTCCTTGCCCCGGGGTGACTTCTTCTCTTCCTTCTCAGGTTCAGCAGCTTACCCCTCCATCTTCTGTTTTTCTCATCCTCAACTTCTGGCTACGAAATCACCTCACGCACAACCTACCTAACTAAGACACGTCCAAGTGACACAAGATTCACCATGGCCAGCTCACAGTACACGCTTCCCAAGCTCCCTTACGCTTACGATGTATGTACCACCCTTGCTTCGGCACCAGGAACTCCGGCTAACTCCTCCCGAAGGCATTGGAACCTCATATCTCGGCCCAAATCATGGAGCTTCACCACAGCAAGCACCACCAGACCTACGTCACAAACCTGAACAAGGCTATCGAAACATACAACGCCAACCCTCTCCAAAGCCGCATCGCCGTTTTGGCGGCACTCAACTTCCACGGTGGAGGCCACATCAACCACTCCCTCTTCTGGGAGAACCTCTCCCCCGCATCTAGCCCGGATGCTTCTCCCGACTCCGCACCCAGCCTGATCGCCGAGATCACCCGCGTCTGGGGCAGCCTGGACAAGTTCAAGCAAGCGTTCAACGCTGCGCTGTTGGGCATCACCGGCAGCGGCTGGGGCTGGCTGGTCAAGGACGACACGACAGGTCTCAGCATCATCACGACCAAGGACCAGGACCCCGTCACCAAGGGTGTGCCCATCTTCGGTGTCGACATGTGGGAGCACGCGTACTACCTTCAGGTTTGTGGATGCTTCTTTTTTTGATCGTGTCAAACGGAATCACTGACTGGGATGGATGGGTAGTACCTCAATGGCAAGGCGGCCTACGTCGATAACATCTGGAACGTCATCAACTGGAAGACTGCCGAGTCGAGATTTTCTGGCAGCCGCGACGATGCTTTCAAGGCCCTTAAGGCGGTCCTCTAAGTGGGGATGTTACTTCGGACGTAGCGGAACGAATTGATGATATGCAAGGGCCTCGGATGCGACTGCATCAATGAGCACGGGTGCTAGAACCAATCACTAACGGGTCGATCGGTTTGCAACGCTTAGTTCTCCCCGTCAACGTAGCTACCTAGACTAGCATCCCGTTCAGACCATGAAGAGATGAATTCAACTGGCTGGGGATAAACAATCAAATTCAATTTCGAGAGACGGTATCGCAATGTGGCCGTGCAACATCCAATGCTGCCGTGTAACCCACGTCCGGCAAGCCCTGGCGAGGGTTCTTTCTCGCACGTAGTCCCTTACTGTGTCTCGGCTGCCTGTTTGTAGCCTCTCACCCACAATATGCGCAGCCCGCGTCGACATCAACTTGAGCTGAGTTTTCCCGTGACGGGGTACGAAGCCACATCCACCCTGCCAGTGCCCACTGGCGCACGACACGTTGCGTTCGATCGCCCTCAACCATGAGGCGGCGCAATACGGTCGCATGGAAAACAGAGCTCAAAGTTCGTCCGGTCAGACCTTCTGCGTCGAGGGACAGACCCGAGTCCCGTCCTAAACTCCGAGAGTCAAGCGAAGACAAACACCGACGGGTGTGAGACGGATCATCCGACTCGGAGGAGACAAGACGGAGCGCAAACCGGCAATCTTGGTCGACGAGAATATCTCCGTCAGGTTGATGGCGTGGCTTCTCCGCCAATCTATGCCACCAGGCATTTCTGCCAGCCGTAATTGCATCTCCGCATAGTCGGTGTGCATCTCGCCACAGACTGTCAATCTTGCGGGATCTCCCAGTAGCCTAGCTGCGTCACGCATCGCTCCGGGCTGAGGTGAGGCAACACGAGCCATGCTCCCCTTAATAAGCACAATAAGAGCAGAATGAATCATTCCGTGACCGCGTCAGGTGCATTGGCCATAATGCCAATGGGAAGCCGACGATGTTTGGCTGCGATAGTGTACCGGCAGCATGCAGCTGGCCCCATGCAGGTACACACGCTCTGCAGGGGACGCTTTTCGTGTTGTACGGTACTTGCCCTGCGGCAAAGCGCAAAGCCTGTCGCTTTTCAAAAGCTGCAAGATTCTGGGTACAGCAGCTGTTGTATCTACGATGGTGAACCCAAACCTTTGGGATGGTGTTGGGCTTGGAGACGTGGAACGATGGCTGATGGGAGGGTTGTTGGTCTATTTTTTGACGGCGGATTGTGAAAACATTTTTCGTGACCAAAATTCTTCAAATTTGCGGCGAATTTGGTATCCCCGACCGCTGAATTGTGTGCGCAGTCGGTTCATGTTGCCTGAGATTGCGTGGGACGGAGACTTGCAGCCGCTGCCGAACCCGCGGCCTCTCCGGCCCTCCTCTCCCGTGTGTTCAGTGTCCAACTTCTTTGAGACAGCTCCAAAGTCGTTTCTGCAATGGTAAGGACAGGGTCGATTGGCGATGATGATCTGTCTGTCATTGAACAAGGTGCATAAGGTTAAAAGCGAGAAAAGCGTGCATACGACTGTCACTCTGCCCGATGATCCTGGCAGCGACAAACAAACTTGGCCGACTCGACTGTCAATGTCAAATCAGAAGCCTGCTCCGACCCATGCAGGTTTCCACGTTGTGGCTTGATGTAGGCAGATTGCTACCAACCCGCCAAACGACAGCGGGTTTGCGTCCGGCGTTCGCCTCCCCGCAAATATTCTTAGAAACCAAACGGCTTTCTATGAAGGGGGACGTTGTGGCTGGGATCAGATAGATGGCTGCAGCAGGATGGAAATCTTGGTGCTTGATTCGATTGGTCGACTGTCCTTCCCCAACGACGTCGAGGCCATGAGAGACAAACCGGTTTACCTTGACATGCAATACCGAGACACTCAAAGCGAGTGATGTGGCGCTCGCACTTGACGGCCAGCTGCATGGCAAGCCCTTATCGAAGCCCGTTCTAGATTGAGGGCAGGCTTGCGTGATGAGAGTGTCTGCCGAGCATCCCGTTTCCCGTCCGTGTTGGAACGGCTGTGGGCTCTGAGTTGGCTGCGGTGTTATTCTGGCCGGCATAGAAGGTTGGACAATCATTTCATGATATAAAGGAGTGCAGCCGGCGAGAAAAGACGGTCTTGTTCTGTTTAGTCTCCAGCCAGCACGAACCGTCGCAGCATCACACTCGTTTCTTACTCCCACTTCTCTTGCTCGCCATGGTCTTTCCTGCCTCTGGTCTCGCCCTCCTGGGCCTTGGGTAAGTCGTCATTCTCAGGCATCTCTGTCCATGCTGACTTGGCAGTGCTTCCTTGGTGAACGCCATCCCGCAGGCCAACCACATCATTGCTCGCCCTCCGGCGACATTGACCGTGACTTCACTCATTGAGATCACCAACGAAGTCACCGTAACTGCTTGCGGTTCCAACTGTGCCACTGCGGTCACAGTCACCGTGACTGAGACTCAGCCGTGCTTCTACACTTGCTCCGCATCAGCCTCCAGCTCCATGCCCGGCACACGGACTTCAACTCCGTCTTTGCCTACAATCAGCATTCCGCCGAAGCCTTCTACTCCCACTAGCTACGTCAACTCCACCACGGGTATCCCGACCTCCTCCACTCCGTTGGGTACCGGCTCCTCAACCAGCCCTACCTCTGTCTCTCCCTCGGACACATCTTCTCCTGGCACGACGGTCTCAACTCAGCTGCCCAGTCTGACAACTTCTCATCACTCGCCCGCCAATACCACGTAAGTCGTCTTCTGCGTCTCTCACTTGGACTCTTCACTGATGCTATTCCAGGACCCGTACCCGGACGAAAACAATCAAGACCAGGACCTTGACCCTGTCCACGGGTATCTCCCTCACCACCGGTACGGGCACCGGTGCCAGCAGCGTGCCGTACCCCAGCTCCAGCCTCTGGAGCAACACCACTCGCCCCATCCCTAGCACCACTCCGGGATCCTTGACCACCACCGAGGCCACACTTCCGACCATTCCCATCCCCACCCCGTCGGATGTTGATACCACCTCTGCTCCATGCACCATCTACGGTTGCCCCTCGTACACCACTGCCACCTACACCACGGTCATCAACACCACTGTGTCGGACCAACTCCCGGAGACTGGCACAGCATCCCAGTCAAAGACGACCCTGAGATCCACCATCATCGTGACCGTGACCAAGTCTTTACCGTCCAGCACCGGCACCGGCTACAGCTCGACCGGCCCCGGCACCGGTGCCTCCACCGGCTTCCCCTCGCACAACATTCCCACCAGCTCCATCAAGCTTTCTTCTACTCTGAGCTATCCCACGACCACCTCATCTTCTTGGACCAACACGACTACAACCTCTTCCGGCACCAGGACTGAGACGAACTCGGATGACGTGACCACCGCCACCGAGTCGCCTTCTTCCACCAAGAAGCCCTGCACCACGCACAAGACCGAGTCTAGCACCGAGTCCAACATCGAGTCGAGCACCCAGTCCAGCACCTACCCGGCATCGTCTCCCGGAACCACCGTCTCGGACGCTAAGCCATCCGCAGTGACCACCTCCAGCTCCATCTCTGGTGGCTACGACACTTACCCAACTTCTTCTCCCGGCACAACCGTGTCTGACGCCAAGCCGTCGGCCGTCAGCCCTTCGGAGTCTCCGTCCAGTTCCATCTCGGGAGGTTACGACTCTTACCCCACCTCCACCCCTGGCACCACCGTCTCGGACGCGAAGCCCTCCCTCGTCACCCCCTCCTCTTCTATCGACGGTGGCTACGATACCTACCCGACATCTTCCCCGGGCACCACTGTCTCAGACGCCAAGCCGTCCCTGGTCACTCCCACCACTATGGAGACCCGGACATCTGATGAAGCCACCGCCAGCTCGTCTACCTCGATCTACGGCGGCTATGACTTTGGCCACAAGCGCCGCGTGATTCGTCACTAACTTGGCCCGGGTGATGGATCAACAAACTGCAATTGGAGAAGGCTCAGGTTGAGCATATAGAACGCCAAAATTACTCATTGAGTGCGTTGTTGCTGCGGGGGCTTGGGGCTGAAGTACAAAGCTGGTGTTTCTTTTTCTCTTCTTGACCTTCGTTTACATCTTTCTCATAGGTGATTTCATGATAGAATTTGGTTTAGTTTCAATGAGCAGGTGTTTGCCGTGGTGACAATTCCGCTCACGCCCACTTCCCAGGGCGAATCAGAAGTTGAGTGCATGTATCATTGGTAAAAAGTGACATGATGCCGTCTTGTTAGTAGACATGACAAGGGATGGTCGTTGAGAAGTCTATCTTAGGTTGGCCCACATCGTATGGAAGGCAGTTGAAGTGGAAGACGGTGGCCGGATAACCCTTACCAAATGGCAGCTAGGGGGCCTCACATCCTCATTAAATCTAACTGGGCATATATGGCCACTGAATCAGGCAAAAGGTGTCAATTTGGTAATTAAATTCAAGCAAAGCAGCTAGGTATTGGGATCATGGCTTTCTTGCATACCACATAGGTGCATTTTTTATAGCCGATATGAGCCTAGATCAGGCGTCTAGGGATCTAGCTAAGGCCACAATACTGTCCGTACGAAACTCTCCTTGCCCAGTGGCATAGCCGCCAGCACCAGCTGCATCCTCCACATCTTCGGCTCCAGCCAGAGCTTCATTCTTTTCACCTCTGCCAATCAACTCCAAGATACACCCGGTCTCTTCCTCCTTCAAGAAGAATTGCCGAAGCCCTGTAGCCAGGTCTGTACTGGGCACATCTGCTGTTGTCTGCCAACCCTGTTCCCTGACCTCTGCAAACACAGCATCAACGTCTTCTATCCTATGGTGAACGTGAGCACCACAATGCTTGTTCATGAGCTTCGTGAATACAGCATCCTGATTCAGTCCCTCGGTCAGAATCAGGACCCGCTTCGTATCAAACGGCAATCCCATCACATGAATCAAGCCGTCGTCTTCCCCGTTGGTACGGGAACCGGCGTTCACCGTGAAAGTCCGCAAGTGCGTGAAACCCATCATAAGTTCGTGAAAGCTCTTCATCTTGGTGGCGTCTGGCATGATGGCAGCATAATGATCGAGCTGGTAGGCCGGCCCAGCAACCGACTTCAGCGCTTCTGAGGAGTTGGAGAAGGCACCGTTAGAGGATTCCCAAGCAGGGGCCTGCGCAAGACTTATTGGATATCCCGCCTCCTCGCGTTTGAGACCAAGCTCATTTGAGCCATCCTCAAGTTTGACTTCGTGGAAGGCTGCGCCGTCAGCCTTCAGCATTGCACGAGCCCTCGCCAAGTTATAGACGGAGAACCGCATTGAAAGGCCAATGTTACCAGGGCCAGTTCCTGCGGGCGCCCTGACGATGCTCAATGTAGGATCGTCATCCCCTGGAAGCTGATAAAGCGTCTTGTCCTCATTGAACCTGGCGTTGTACACGCGCTCAATAGTTTCACCGGCTCGACCAACATTTGGCGTAGTCAAAGTCAAATGTGACATTCTCTTGACTCCCAGGCGGTTGACCGCTCCAGCTGCTCTTCGCGCCATCACCAAATCATGACAAGCATCCCACAAGGCAACATTGGTCACCGACGATCCAATCTTGGCAAATACTGCATTGATGAAAGACTTGGTGTCGTTGGCACACGCTTCAAGGTTGGAAGCACTGTAACCTCTCAAGGCGAGACCACTGCAAGCTCGCATGAACAGATTGGAGGTGCCGGAATTGCTGATCCACTCTGGGAGCATTCGAATAGAAGCAGAGTCTAGACTCGAGAGAGTCTCTTCTCTGCTCTCGGCGGGTTTGAAGACGTTATTGGCTCCAGCGACGATAAATCGGGACGAGACAGAGACTTTAGCGAACGTATGATTGATCAAGGCAGAAATTGTCTTTGGCGTAAGAACGTAGCATCCAGCACAGGGTACGAAAGCCTCGCCCTCGGCCGCGGCAAGGAAATTGGCGAGATGCTCTTAATCAGATGAGCCCGCCTTACGTGGCGTGTATCGAGCGGATGAGAGCTCAGCCTGGGAGAGGCCGGCTTCGAGACATCTGGGATCCAAGCCTGGGGCGAAATGGGTTCCAGCCCCGCTGCGGCGCGTGTGTTCAATGGCGACGCAGTCTATGCCGTCGTTGTCAATTTAAAAGCCATACTGGCTGGAGATTGCCACAACGCGTCCAATGCCCAACTGCTCCGCTGCTAGGGCGAAGGTGGCACCGACACACCCGAAGCCCTGAAGCACTAGGCGAGCTCGTCCCATCAAACTCGGGTCTGCGCGAGAGAGAAGCTCTTTCAGGGTGACAGCCATGACATAGCCAGCACGCAGCGTGTAGGACAGTGGCCCAGTGGCCCCGGAGGTCTTGCTGTTCGGATATAGCTTGGTTCCCATCACGATACCGCGCTCTTCCCATTTGGCGTCAGCCAGATAGGTCTCCGTCGTTCCTCCGCCGTACAGTCGGGCTGTGTCGATCTCGTTGTGGCTGCGTGATTGGAAGAGATCTAACATATTATTAACATCTTCGACGGTGGTGACCTTGAGACCGCTAATAGTAGGTGACCCAATCGTCATCGCCCCGAAAACGACGGGAATTGCTGTTTGAGATTTTGAAGCCATTGTGTTCTCAATTGTCATAAAAGAATGTATGGCAAGACCAAGTCGACTGTGTGATGTCTACGTAGAAAACAGAAAATGCGGAAGTCATAGATAAATATGTCCTTTTCCACAATTCCAAGTTTCAATACTGGCCATTGTGACGCAATGATGCTAGTAATTCCGCTGCAGCACTTTTGTCAGCTGCGTGCAGTGTTGAAGCGGAAGTAAAAGGGAGAACGTATCTCTGCTATGCAAATCACAAATACATATGAGACCATATCCTTGGCCAGACTCCTTTTAGCATGGGCCGGCGAAGGCTTTTACCACCGTCCGATCGCCAATATTCTTCTGATGGGGAAGGCCAAACCTGCTGGAGGGGACTGAATGGTATTGTTACCCTTATGAGCACATACCGTTCGGCACTTTTCATCCATGCTGCCAACCTCCCCAGCATCTCGTGTCACATTTTTGGGGGCTTGTCGCGTCTCGCGGGCTCGTTTCAGGTGGTTTGATGATATGGAACCTCAAAACAGGATCACAATAGATATCCCTAGCCATCTTTTGTATGATACTTTGACATAAGTTCAAAGGCAACTTTTCACGTATCATAACTTGAAAAAGCAAAATAGATGAGCCATCAGCTATTTATTACAAGCTGATTAATCTGTCATTTCAGTTGCCGCTGAAAACAGTTTGGTAGCTATCAACGCCAGCTTCATCTTTCACCTTCTCCCATATCTGCTCAATCGCCCCAACTGCCTTCTCAGACAGAGGACCTCTGTTGCAAGCCAGAAGTGTCTCTTCCATTTGCGACAAAGAGCTGGAACCAAACACGATACCATCGCCATGCTCCTTCCGGAGGATACTGTGGTAAACGACCCAACGGTACGCTAATTCCGCCTTTGAGATCTGCTCCTCCTCGGCAATCTTCCCCCATTCCTCAAGTGCAGATAAGTAGCTGTCTTTGACGTACAGCTTGTGGTAGATGCCGAACATTTGATCCGGGCTGAACCTTGTCCCACCTGACTCGATCTGCTCTCTGGTCTTGGTGAGGAATCCCCCGGCAATCGGCGAATACGCAACGAAAGAGATTTCAAGTTTTCGCAAAACAGGAAATAAGTCTGCCTCAGGCTTTCGCGCTACGGCGGAGTAGTTGTCCTGGTATACCGTTGGAAGGACTAAACCGTTGTCTTTGGCTACGTCGTAGAGTCGCTGAACCTCAGTGGGAGGGTAGTTGGAAAGCCCCAGCCTTCGGAATAAGCCTGCCTTGTGGGCGTCGTTGATGCCGGCAAGGGTCTCCTCTAAGGGGGTATTGAAGACAGGCGCGTGCAGGTAGAACACGTCGAATTGAGGGACAGCAAGGGTCTCTATGCTTTGTCTAGCCGACGAAAGCATGTAAGATCGGGTGTTGGCGCCATCAGCCCTATCGTAACCCCCGAACCACTTTGTGTCAAGTTCAAAGTCGAAATCTGAGCCAGCTTTCATAGCGCCTAGTTTTGCTTCTGATCCGAAATAGGCCTTCGCAGTGTCGAGTTTGTTGGAGCCATGTTTCTTCATCAACTGAAAGGCTTGAATAATGTGCGACTCCGAACCCCCCCAGAAGCTGTCTGGATAGCCAAAATTGGACGTTCCGACGATGACGTCGATTCGATCTTGGGAAGTCATAATTGTTGGTGATGGTGCAATGATGCTTTTAAGTAAGTAGCGTTAAGAATTAGGCAGCGTTGATTTTAAAGTCCTCGTTCAAAATTAGGAATACTCTTCACGAGAGACGCTTGTCTTATGTGGCCGTTGCAAACTCATGCCCTCTGCCGGGCCCCGGTCGCTGCGTTCGTGAGTCGACACTGTTGACTCGGTTCTTGGACTTAAGAACCGGAGATTTTGTATGCTGACAGCCCTGTCAGTCCGTGTGGATCCAGCTTGGTGCTCCGTGAGCCACCCGGGGGCTCGGTCTCAATGTAATCCGTTGGTTTAGGCCATTGATTCAGCAAACCTCCGTCTTTCCCTAAGATATCAGCATTGAGACGTAAACAGTAAAAGTGTGCGAACTTTCTCACGCAGCCTGCGCCTCCAGTCGAATCATGATTGACATCACGCCGACGAACCCACTTTACCCTACGATCTTGATGCATGGATGGTCTTAAGTCCAAGCAACAATGACATACCTTTCGATACTGCTTTGCAATTAGATAAATCCCAGCAATTTACCTAAAATTTGTGAAGGATAAACCCTTCTCGAAGCCATACGTCAAAACATCACGTTTCTTCTGTAGAGTCCGGGATATGCCGAGACGGTGACAGCGATAGGTCGAAGGAGGGTAAAATCGCATGATTCATTAATTCTGTGTCCTATGAAATTTTCCGCTGTCAGCTGCTCTCCCGTCATTTGTCGAAATTCTTTCAACTTTGTGAGATCTCTCATTTGCGTTTGGTAAAATCGTTCCTAAATCCGATGCTGACACCCCTGTGAGCCGGGGACCGGACGATTTACAAGTGGAGCTCAGTCTCGACGAGCCTAGGGTCCACCACCGAGGAGAAGTCATGCTGTATTCGAGAAACCTCGGGTCGATGGAAGACAAGCCACACCACACAATGAGTGTGGGTCCCAGTATGTATTGTACAAGTACCTAAATGGGCTTGTTATATCCAATATAGTTATTGTACTTTCGGACTTGAGTTTTGTCAACATGCTTGGATTTCACCATAATACTAGGTAAAAGAGGGATGAACCCTTCATTTCGGGAGAGACTTTTGTAGTGCGTCTACTACTGCTCTATTCATGTTGTTGACAACATGATATCCATTCGTACAATGCTTTAACTTAGTCGTAGAAAACGAGACAACGAACTTCAATGCTCTGTCTGAGGGGTGCACCGTCCGGTGTCTGGGGATCTGTGAAGGCGGTGTGTCCTGTGCCATGTGCAATGCAGTTCTCTTCACCAGTCATGAAATCGCTTCTCGAATCGAAACATTTGACCAACAACACTTCATCTGGCGTCATCTCCTTCACATAATAGAACTGATGGTCCTTGTTTGGAGAAACCACGTACTGTTCCCCTCTGACGTCATACCCAGCTGGTGACGAAGACTCTTCTACAACCGGTAGCACATCTGGTTGGATTTCGCTGTGCTGGGGATAGAGTAGGTCGACTTTGACCAGGTCAGTTGGAGCCGTGGTCCGCCAGTCAAGAACAGCCAAAGGCGTGTCAGAAGCGTCATGTTGAATACGTCGCCAAACATTGACGATCTGGAATCGCCCCTTCAACAGCTGAGCTGACTGTTCCGCGGGAGTATGGCGGAGAACTCTGGCCTTGGCAGCAGCAGGTGTCTGAATAATATGCACGAGCTGCACGGGCTGTCGTGGAGATGGCGTTGCCCTTCTTCTGATCGCATGATCAAATATGACAACCTTTCTGACACCATCTAAATGTTTTCGCAGAAAGCTTTCGACCTCGTTGTAGTATAACTTTCGGATTTGCTGTTCGTCGTTGAAGTCCTCTAGAGAAGAAGGCGCGTGGCAAGTATCAAAGCCAAATATATTGATGGAAAATGCCGAAGTTTGATGTCGCAGATTGAGAAGCTGTTGTTGGGCATTGACCACACCGTACGACTTGCCCGGGCCGTCTACCTTATTCCAAGGCTTCTCGAAAGACGCTGTGGCGTTGGGCTCAAAGGAAGCCGGGTCAATGTAACTAAGAATCGCCGTCGTCATGGTGGTTGGATGTCTTTGCAGTGACGATATGAAGTACAGTACGAGATTTGAAGACAACATAAGATGCAATTGACAGTATGCGACGGGCCTCAGTCACTTATACGCAACAATAACAGGAGACGTTGAAGATTAAGTCAGCGGAGTCGGCGTATTCGCCCGGGAAATACTGGATGCCGGAGCCCCAAGGGTTTCTCGACGTTGATTACATGACAGATGTGCCTGTTCAAGCACGGCTGATGTGGGGCTAGTCCGAGCTTTAAGGTTTTCAAAAGCACCCATAACAACGCTGAATTAACAGGGTGGAATTGCCCAGTCGAGCTTCCAATACCAGCGGTTGGTGGATCGTTTAGTGTCTGGCTTATGCATCATAACTACTTGACGTGGTTAGGTTGCGTGTGCGACTGCGTAAAGCAGTCTCCCATATCACACAACGGCTTTTGGATCGACTGCAGCTAGTCAACTACGCCCAACTTGTCAAACGCGCCCAATAGTCAATCACGCCCAACTGCGCCCAAACTCGGAAAATACCGTAGTTTCTGGGGGACCCCGGTGATGAAACATAACCTACACTGAGTCAAACAGTGACACCTGCGATGTCGGGCAAACAGCTTGGACTACAAAGACTATGTAGGTCTCTCAATCGTGGTCACGAGGGCACATGGTGTTGCCGCTGCCGACCTTTCGTCACTTGAATATCCAGGAGGCTTCATTTCTCAAAATGGCTGCCCCTCAACTACGCAGTCGGAGGTGGACGAGGGCTTCCTACCTCATATCTACCGATAGCGATCTTATCCCGATTCCAGTTCTCAGCTCGTTTTTCGCGTCGAAGGGCTTCTACTGGGCCAATCCTCTTCCCGAGCCCGTCATGCGACAAACATTACAAAATTCGTTATGTTTTGCGCTGTACGATATCAATTCCAACTCAGTGGAGGCCGCTGAAAACATTCTCCGACAAAGAGCAGCAGTCAACTCCGAAGACGACCCAGACGACACCACTTGCAACTTGGGGAGCGAATGCCAGCCAACACTCATCGGGTTTGGCCGCATCATTACGGATTTCGTGACTTTTGCATTCTTGACCGATGTTTGGATTGAGCTCTCCACACAGGGACAGGGGCTAGGCTCATGGCTGATTGGCTGCGTACAAGAGGTTATTGAATCGATGCCACACCTACGCAGAAGTATGCTCCTTACAAGTAGTTGGGAAAAGTCTGTGCCATTTTATCAGAACTTGATGCACATGGAGTTGATGAACGAACCCGATGGAAAGAGACCAGCAGTTATGGAAATGAAATGGAAGGGGCTAGTTGATGGATGGCAAGGCATCTAAGCCGCAGTGCAGCCGGTGTATCATTATACCTAACTTCCATGGGCAACAGCCGGATAACACCCGGGGATAGGCTTTCGCCTCGGAGGATGACCAAAGTGAACAATAGAAATCTTTCCTTGATCTCTTGTTGCACGAAGAAATGTTTATTGCGCAACACCCGTAACCATGATAATCATTCCATGCGTCTCCACCATGAAAGCCTCTTCAAGCGAAGCGTGCCCCCATTCGTCACAAAAGAAGCAAGTTACTGCTTGATCACAGCCCTCACTGTATCCTCCACGCTCTCTTTCTCCAGCCCAAGCCTCTCATTCCAAATACCACCCTTGACGTCTGTATGGTCCTCTAGTGCGTCACTGCCAAGGACCAATGCCATAATCACGGAAGCTCCACCACCCACGATGTCACCTTCGCCAAGTCTCTTGAAACCATCCAGCCTCATATTCTCGGAAGTCTCTTCTTTGACTTTCCAGTCCTGGCCGGTTGCCTCCTGGAGGGCCTTCAGAATCTCAAGCTGAGTAGTTGTAAAAGATTCAACAAAAACAAGCTGATTTCTCGTCTCAGAGGGATGCTTCAAGACTGATATAATGGCACGTCCAATCTGAGCTACAGTGCTTGTAGTAAATCGGGTGTTCCCACCGTCCACCAGGGTGGCGACCCTGTTGTTGAGGTCAAAGCCAGTCATGCCCAGCTCCAATCCCTGAATCGATGTTAGCGGATTTAAATGCTGTCTCGATCGGGACCTTAAACATACCCAATCAAAGAACGGGCCAGTAATGATGGCGGTCCAGCTAATGTGCTCTTCATGAGAAGTAAGCCAGTCTAATTGAGCCTTCTTGGGCTGGAAAAAGGGAACCGCCTCGATGACGAGATCAGACTTCGTGCAGGTATGTTAGCTGAGGCTTCCGATGGCAAAATAAGGATGCATACAGAGGAATCAGACCCATACTCGCTGGGGATGAATCTTTTCACTCCTGCTTTGATGGCCGCTTCGGCTACTTTTTGCTGCTCTCCGAGAGCAATAATCGGGAGCATGCTGACGACGGCATCTTGACCATACAGTGCTTCAACGAGAGATCCTTCGCTAAAATCGCTTTTGATGACCTTGGCTTCCTTTGGAAAGGTTGAAGCTGAGCCCTCACGACTAAGAATAGTCAGGTCAAGGCCAGATTGCAGTAGCTGCGGTAGTACGCCTCTTCCAATATTTCCACTTGCCTGTATTTTATGTTTGTTAGATTGCTGATCTCATCTTCCGCGTGAACAATCACAAACAACTTACACCGACTACCACAACTTTAGTAAGAGACATCCTGTATGATTTTGAGAAGCTAGCTGTTCCTTTGAATGCACATAACAGCCTCGACCTTTTGCAAGGACCATCAAATCAACTTAAATAATTTACAATTGCAGTCTCGCCTCAGCACTTCTGCCACTTCCACAGCTGGCACTCGCCTTGGATTACGAAGCATAACTTCCAGTCAAGCATTAACCCAACAAAGACCCAGCGGCGCAATGTTTTTGCCTTGAGATCCAGACATAAAGGGCTTGCCTTGAGATCCAGACATAAAGGGCTGGACAATATCAATGTGCTGAATAATGTGAGCTCCGTCGGCTTTGGGGCCCATGAGTCGACCCGACGATAGGGTCAGATACGGTTGTGGGCTAACTGTTAAGCCGACGAGGTGGTATGTGTGTGCTTAGTAAAAAACCAAAGATTTCATTTCCACTAGGTTTCTTCCTTGCGCAATAACTTTAACATAAGGTGCAATTAAGGGTGTGTCCGTCGGCTTGTGCTAAGGCCGTCGGCATTAATCCAGCACTAGTAGTTGTGATTAGTGAACACACCCCCATCGTCAACAGAACCGTAGTACGTTTTGGACTCTATTGATCTCCAGATGTGACCGAGGTGAATGACGCCGACCTTTCATCTTTGGAATACAAATCATCAAGATCAAAAATGATTACTGGTATGCAGGTCGCCACTCCAGCACGTATTCGTTTCCATAAGTATGAACTAGCCAACGACCCCGGCTGACTTGCGACATTCAGCTATCCATCGGCACAGAAACCCGCTTGGTACACACTTCAGAGTCTCATTTTTACTATTCATATTTCAACCCGCATGATGGCCGCTTGTACATCTTCCAAACCAACTATGAAGGCCCTGGTGACAAACCGGACTATCGCAACCCGCGTTTTGAACCTCAGCACCGGAAAGTCTGTTTTCAAGGGCGCCCATGTTACGGAAACGTCGAAACCCACTATCAACGATCAGGAGATATTGGTCAAGGTGCATACCGTGGCCCTCAACCCCAGCGATTTCAAGCATATCGATGTCATCTCCCCAAAAGGATGCATAGTCGGGTGTGACTATGCCGGAGAGGTCGTCGAGGTTGGGAAGTCCGCTGTCGGAACCTGGAGGATAGGGGATCGCGTCGCCGGTGTTGTTCACGGCGGACTACATCGAGACCGAGGTTCCTTTGCAGAGTATCTCAAGACGGATAGCGATCTGGCTTGGAAGATCCCACAGGGTGTTAGCGACGAACAGGCAGCTACGTACGGCGTCTCGGCTGTGACTGCAGTCCTGGCGGTCAACGTTCACTTGGGTCTTCCATGGCCAGGTGAGCCTGGGACAGGTTCGCAGCCATTGGCGTCCAAGTCAACCAACAAAACTGTTTTCATCTACGCAGGCTCCACGAGCGTCGGTCTTTTTGCTATCCAGCTTTCGAAGCTTGCAGGGTACACCGTTGTTACGACAGCGTCGCCTCACTCCTATGAGCTTGTCAAGCGCTACGGTGCGGACCATGTATTCAACTACAGGTCTGATACCTGGATTCAAGAAGTTACCACTGCATTTCCAGATATTTCCCTGGCTTTTGATTGCTTCTCTGAAGGGGGATCCGGACAAGCCATTGCCAACGTCATCAAATCTCAGGGCGGAAAGATTGTCACGTTGCTTGATCAAGGCGAATCCAAGGTTCCTGGAGTCAAATACGATATGATCATGCTTTATACCGTGTTTGGTCATGAGTTCGCCTGGCTGCCACCGATTGGTCCCAAGTTTCCTGTCGACATGGAGCACCGCCAGGCTTTGGCCCGGTTCTATGCGATCTTGCCTCAGATTCAAAGCTCACTCAAGCCTCCCCCCATCAAAGTGGTTGACGGTGGGATTGACGTGTTGCTTGAGTCGCTGGATTTGCTGCGTCAAGGCAAGGTGTCAGGAACCAAGCTGGTTGTGAAGTTCTGAGAATAATAATATGGTCGGACCAGATGTCATTGTTCGTTATTGTTACCAAGTAGTCATAACCTGTTAAAGTTATTCGTTGTAATACCGAGACCTATGTTCTCTTCTCAATTTACGAAGGACGTATTGTGTTTGCCGAGACCACGACAGTTGAGTGGTTTCAGGGAAGAATCCTTCTTCGGAAGAGTCATTCGTTCAAATAACAAGCATGGATTTGTGTGTGCCTGTTTGGGAAGATCTGCGTAGTTTATGTGTGTCAGACTTAAAACCTAGTCGTGATTGGTTCGGACATGCTCTGCACTATGAATAACATATTGAGATTCTTCGACATCCCAACGCCAAACGAGACCATATGTGCCTCCTGAGGAGCTGACAACCCTTCCAAACACCGCATCATGCCGACGGCATATTAACACGGTGGAGCATTGCGGTGGAGGCTGAGCCATCAATGTGATTCACGCGCGTCAGGGCCGGAGAGACTGCATTTCCGACGGCCCCGCTTGACGAGAAGACGTCCATGGTGACAAATTGTTTTGACGATGAATGATTCTGTCAATTGCTTAAATGCGCAAGCAAATCATTATGAATCCTCCATTTGTTTAGACCAACCAGAAACCCATCAAAGCACGACACAATGGCCGCCCTTGATCAAGAACAGCCTAAGCTTATCGCAGTACTTGGAGCCACAGGAAACCAAGGTCGAGGTGTTATCAAAGCCCTTCTAGACGCACCTCACCACTTCGATGTCCGTGCGATCACCCGAGATCCAGATGGCCCGGCTGCTCGAAACCTTTTAGCTTTGGTCGGCCATCACGGAAGGCTTACACTTACCCGTGGCGACGTCTATGACTGCAAGAGTTTGGCAGAGGCTTTCGAAGGCTCCTACGGCGTTTTCGCCATGACGCAGAGTTTCGTCGCGGGAACAATGTACCACAAAGAGGAAGATCTACGGCGCGAGCTCGAGGCTGGGCGGAATATTGTCGATGCCGCTGAAAAGACCGGCGTCAAGCATTTTATCTTCAGTAGTTTGCCAAACATCGAGAAGGCTAGCAACAGGCGCTACAGCAAGGTGTTCCATTTTGACTTCAAATCACGGATTGACAAGTGGGCGAGAGAGCGATTGCCAGCCGTCACAACCCTGATACCGGGTAAGGCTGGCGAATTATGAGTTCCTACGATAAGTCATGTTGCCAAGGGCTGGCTGATGGGACTGAATAGGGCTATTCTACGACAACCTTCAATGGCCTAATTACTGCCGCCGAGATGGTAAGAAACTTTCACCAACAAGCAGAGGCCGATGTCTGATGTATGCAACAGACGATGGTACAGTGCGATTTTGCGCTGCAGTTCCCGAGTCGACAGTTTGTGAATGGGTAGACGTAGGGCACGATGTCGGGATATTTGTTCGCGGTATGTATGTGACACCGCTGGGATCGAGTTGGAATTGCTAACCTTGTTTTACCTAGCTGTACTGATAGCGGGAACATCTAAAACTGCATCAAAGACATATCCCATCGGAAGTCCCAAGATCTCTTTCGGAGAGTTGGCCAGTGTTTTCTCCAGTATGACAGGCATTCCCGCTCGCTTTGAAAGTGTTGGTCTGGAGGACTGGACTTCTACTGTTGTTTCCGTGGCCGGGCAGGGCTTTAAAGAGGACATCCGGCAAATGGTGCAATGGGTTGCCCATGCGCCTAGAGATAATATATGCTACGGGACAATGAACCCTGTGGATGACTGCTCATGGGAAGATCTTGGGGTCAAGGCCAGCACGTTTGAAGAATGGATTCTGAGAAACAATTGGCGAGGCCCTTGATTTGACATACTGGCGTCAAGCGGCATCTATCTACTTCGATCTCATATTCTAAATGGCATTACTCCTACATTTCCCAAATTCGAAGTCTCAGCCTCAGATTTGCCCCAAATACAAAGGTCGTCTATCGAGAAATTTCCCCCTAGACAGTGAGGGCCTTTCACTCCTGTGCGTCTGTGCACATTATGACAGGCGTTGACAAAGTCACCAACATAGCAGCCCAGATAACCGCAGGGAAAGCGAATAATATCACACCTCCCAACTCATGAGGCCGAAATACGTGAGCAGAAATTTCATCAAAATGCGGACAAGACGTATGCAGATAGCATTCAACGTTCGTCTTATCGAAAGGAGCTTTACTACCAGCGCAAACTCGTGACCCGCCCACCCTGCGAAGAGACTAGGGGTAAAAGGAGTATTACAAATACGTGTGGATACTGACTCAAGGGAAATAAAAAAACGGCGCTATCTAGGTCTAACAGATAGACTCCGGGCAATGTGCGTGTGTTCCGTCGCTCCACAATAGTCCCATAGCTTCAGAGTCGGCGCAATATTCCAACCGCATTGTTGGGATTACTGATCACTCGATATCCCGTCCCGCACTACATGATGTTCTCGAAATAGCAATTTATTCCTTCCTTATCTCGAAGATATTATGACCTGTCATGATAGAATCACGACAGATTAGATAGGTACCGAAAGTCCTCCGTCCCGGACGCCGGCCCGGGCGTACGCTCGGATACGATTCAATTCTTGACCGGCTCCGTCGGAAAATAACCCGATTGATGTCACGCCAACAGAAACGGGACAAAGATTAGACCGGGTGAACTTTACATCCTTATGAGAGCCATTTCGATGGCAGCTTACCGCTCCGAACAGAAATACCTGATTCGCGTCTCGGTATGTCGGGATTCTCTCAGTGCTTCATAATGTTGACATCGTTCCATTCAAAAGCATTGAAAAACTCTAAGGTATACTTCAAATCAAAACACTTGATCATCTTCAAACTATTACACGGTCGACATCATGATGTTTCAGTTGCCGGCTTTGGCTGCATTATTGGCAACAACAGGCTCGGCCACCCTGTTCAGCTCCATTCCTCTCAACCTATCCGCAAACCTAACAGAATTCAACTTTCATGTTACCACAGACAAACTAGAGAGATTTCAAACCTCACTGTCAGCCTCCAACGTTGTCGCAGATGACTGGTATAACCGGCACCAGAACATCCAACTCGGCACCACAAGATCATGGCTTGCAGAGGCCAAGGAGGCATGGATTAATTTTGATTGGAGGGACAAGGAAAACCATATCAATAGGTTCCCTAACTTCAACATCCTAATCGACGACAACAATCTTGGTCTCACAAACATTCACTTCATTGCCCTCTTTTCCCAGAAAAAAGACGCTTTACCTCTCCTATTCTTACATGGGTGGCCTGGGTCGGTCATAGAATTTCTCCCAGTCTTGGACATCCTAACTTCAAAGTACAATGCGGACACACTCCCATACCATGTCATCATACCGTCCTTGCCACACTACGGGCTCTCTGGAGGTCCGTCGGATGTGGAGCTCACATTAAGCGACGCAGCAAGACTTATGAACGAGCTGATGCGAAGCCTTGGTTTCGCCTCGGGTTATGTCGTCCAAGGAGGTGATATCGGGAGCTTTATTGCCAGGATACTGTCGGCAACATATCCTGAATGCAAAGCATTTCACAGTAAGCTAGCTTGGAAGTATGATTGATCGGCTCTTTGCGGCTGACTAGACTGAAGTAAACATGCTGGCGCCCTCATCTCTGAAGGAAATTCTCAGCAATGCAAACATTACCGCGACGGAAACTGAACATGTTCAGCACATGTACGATTTCAGTGCTAATGGATCATCTTACATTCTCGAACACGGATTGAGGCCATCGACGATCGGGCTTGTTCTCGCTTCGAGTCCGCTTGCTGCGTTGTCCTGGTAAGGCTTTCCACGAAAACTTCATTAGCGACGTCAACAGATGCTTCTAAGAGTTTGAGATCTTTCAAGGCGAAACGTATGAGACTAAATGTTTTGCAGGATCGGGGAAAAGCTCATCGAATGGCCAGACCACAGATATACCCTATCGCTCGACAACATTCTCACATTGGTCACCTTCTATTGGCATACGAACTCTTTCTCACGCAACCTTTACCCATATCGACCCATGGCGGCAGCCGCCGTGGAAAATAAGTTGTTCAATGTTCCAACTTCCAAAGCGAAACCTTTGGGATACTCGGTATTTCCATCGGAAAACATTCTCATGCCCGAAGCATGGGCCAAAAAAGCTTATCCAAATTTGGTGTACTACAAGCGAAATGAGAAGGTAAGGTCTCCATTGTCCCTTTTATCGTGTTGCCTCAACCTTGCTAAATGTCTTTGTAGGGAGGGCATTTCGCTGCATTGGAACAGCCTGAAATATTCCTGAGTAATGTGGAAGATTTCCTCACGTTGGTTAGGCCGCTCATCGGCATCTGACGTTAGGACCCGACCGTTCAGGAACGACCTCATGATATGAGTCGTAGCATTTTCAATTGATCGCAGATCGGCTCCATATGTTATGAGCGAACTATCTCAATTGTGGAATTGTTGAGGTAATCGTATGTGCAATAGAGCACGGGAGACAAGGCAGCAAGAAATGGCACTTAGAAAGCAGAACTACTTGGGACATGGTCAGAAGTTGCCGTTCAAAGACGGAATGTCATTACAGGTGTTATTGAAAGTGTGGAGGACCTGCTTTGCATACGTAGCCATACTCAGCTACCAAGAAGTCCTGGTTGGGCTTTCGATGAGCGGCCCTCCATATAGGTTGTGTGTCAGTTCATGCGAACTCCCGGGCTACTGAACTTTGCAATATGCACAACAATTGCTAAGACGCGCACCTGCCGTCAAAGTCTGCCATTCATCATGCTTCGGCCATAAGTTAGAACGTTCACCAGATAAATGTTTCCACTGGGGGGGTAATCGCAGATCAATTATTGAATTTTCTGCGAATAGGTATGTGCCGAGGTTTTGCAGCGGGGAATATAGCGGCTCCTTGTTTCATCCATCACATAGACAGATCAAGAGCTTGTAGTACAAAAGCGATGATTGGCGCAGTATCAATACCTCATCATGTACTATTGGCTTGGTTGAAAGCTGACAGTGGTTTCAGTATGTCGTTGTAAAGTCACAACGGCCCCCTATATTTCCATTAGACGCTACTTTATCGGTTAAGGAAGCTTAACGGCGAGTAATGAGGGACCATAGAGATGTCCCTGGGCCGCTGGGCGGACTCTATTCGGACCCCGACGATAATCAATTCCAGCCCTGGACGTCTTGAGCGTAGATCAAACCCCACCCCCATCCTTCATCAGCTACGTTTTACTTCCTGACCTATCGCTAATCCGTGTTTTCCACCGCGTAATCCGCTTGATGCAACCGTAATGGACACCATTCAGCGTAGCCAACAGGCTGCACATGTGGATTGCAAGTGGTACGTGCAAAGAGGACTGCTCTGCTGCTATCCGTACAATGCATCCAGTGGCAATACGAACCCGACATCCTGTGGTTATACGAATCCGACGACCAGTGAGTATGCGAAACCTGCATCAATCTCAGCGCACCCTTGATCAATTCTGCGGGACTTGCTTCCAAATCAAGTTCATATAAATCTAAGTTCTCCCTTTGAGAAAGTTGCACTATAATACAGTCTGTTGCGTTGACAGCGTCCGTGTTACGACCTGAGAACAAGGGTAATAGATAACCGACCCACTTAGACGTTAGGCGGCTAGGACAGGACATTTATACTGCAGGATCATAGGAATAACAGGAACTCACTTAGAACAGAAGAACTATAGTATAAGTTATATGACGATAAGATAAGGAAATAATTAGTAGAGTATAAAAGGAAACGCTTAGTAATTAGTTAATCTTGCTAACTAATTGTAATCACTTTACATACTTAGGTGATTATCTTAAAATAAATAAAAGATAGTGTTTAGAACTTATATATAATATAACCTAAGCTTAGCTTAAGGATAGACTTCTATAGCTCTTTAGTAATTAACTTAGTATTTATCCTTATAGATACTCTCAGCTTACCTTCACTGCAAATTACTTATTAAGCCTAAGACTAATCACCTTAGCCTCTAAAGACCTAATCTACTACAGCCTATAATCTACAACTGAGATCACAACCTAGTATACTGTTATAGTGTATCAATCCCCAGCTTCTGTTAGCAGACCCTACTGTCGGATAGCTGACCGTAACAGTCCGCCCCTAACTTTGACCCGGAAAGAAAATTTTCCGCTAGCCTAAAACACCCCTAAAACCCCTTAAACTTCACACTTTTATAACTCTATATATACGTAATACGTGTAGCTAAAAATTTAATTAATTAGTCTACTAGTTAAGTGTTACGGTCAGCTATCCGACAGTAGGGTCTGCTAACAGAAGCTGGGGATTGATACGTTCTAACAGTACACTGGGTCGTGGTCGTAGGTCGTAGTTCGTAGGCTGCAGTAGATCGGGTCTTCAGAGGCCAAGGTGATCAGTCTTAGACTCAACAAGTGATTCGCAGTGAAGGTAAGCTGAGAGTATCCGTGAGGATGAATACTAAGTTGATTGCTGAAGAGCTATGGAAGTCTGACCATGAGCCAGGCTCAGGGTCATACTATATACAAGTTCCAAACAGTTCCTCTTGTCCTGCTACTGATTCCTAACTAGGTATCAGTGAGCGCTCAGTAATTACTGCTGAGCGCTCAGTGATCCACACCACCTGCTCAGTCTTATCTTATCGTCACGTGATTTGCACCATAGTTCTTCCGTTCCGAGTGAGTCCCTGTTGTTCCCATGATCCTGCAGAGTACAAATGTCCTGTTCTAGCCGCCCGACGCCTAAGTGGGTCGGTCAACTGTTATCCATGCATAACGGGTCGTAACATTAAGGGCTATATAATAATATATTTTTTATTTACGCGCACTATATACGTATAGAGTTATAAAAGTATAAAGTTTAGGGGGTTTTAGGGGGGGTTTAGGTTAGTAAATATTAAACATAATACAAAAAAAAAACGAAACCCCTTATATATAGTATTTATAGTATCCGCTTTAAAAACCCTTTAAATTAACTTAAACTTTACACTTTTATAACTCTCTATATATATAATACGCGTAAATAAGAAATATATTATTAAATAGCCTTTAACTAGTAAACTAATTAATTAAATTTTTAGCTACGCGCATGTTACGATCGCTACAGTTGGTCCCTGTAGGCTTGTGACTATATAGTGCAGAACAGGGGATAATGACAACGGATTTGTCATTACCGAAGCTTTTGCTTTGTGCCACAGTTGGTTGCCCTGACCCGCTCGTAACAGCGCATTACGTACGCATAGAGTTATAAAGGTGTGAAGTTTAGGGTAATTTAGTGGTTTTCAGTAAAAAGCCCCTTTTTTTGCCTTTTTAAGGCTGAAAATTAGGGGGCGGACGCTATCAACGCAACGGACTGTACCCTTCCTGGCCTATCACGTTTTATTGCCTTGCCAACTAAACACAGTATTGCTGGACTCTGGGGCAAAATGTTGCCATTTTTAGCCCTACCTATCATCTGTCTTTACCTGTATTACAAGTTACATTATCGTCGATTCCGCAAATATGCAAACTTTCCTCAGCTGAAATTATCCCTCGTCTGGGGGCATCTCCAAACTCTTCGCAAGGTCCATAAAGATCGAGACCGCATTGATGGAGACATTGGTATGTATTTCACCGATGGACCAATGATTGTTCAGATCCGGTCTTTGGCGACCTCATGGAGCAAGCCGGCAACCCTCCGGTTTTATTCATTGACTTTTGGCCACTGAACGAACCCATGCTCCTGATCAGAAACCATGACGTAGCTGAGCAGGTTTCGAAGCAATCCCAGCTATGGCCTTACAGCCTACCGAAGTCGCCTTTGTTCAAGGAATATCTGCCGCCCGTTGGCGACCATTCGTTGATTTGGGAATCTGTGAGTGGCAATAGTATCAGAAACAGTGGATTGTACTTACGACATTGGCTGAGTAGGGTCATCACTGGAAGACATTGCGCAAACTCTTCAATCCTGGCTTTGCGCCCAAGTATTTGATGACTTTGTTGTCGGTTGTCCTCGACAAAACAAAGATCTTCGTGCAGATTTTAGACAAGCATGCGGCCAAGGCAGATGTTTTTGATTTGTCCTCCCCCTGTACTAACGTCACGTTCGATATAATCGGTACTCAGATCCTGTTCAAGCTCACTAGGAGATGTAGCTGATCAAAACTTAGGAGCTGTGACTATGGACGAAGATCTCCATGCCCAAGACCCAGACGCACTTCAGAATGACTTCATCCAAAATTACAAACGGTTTGCCGCGACGTACCGTGACGACGGTTCTCCATCATTACTGCCTTCTTTCAGTGTACGCTGGGAGCGACGACGGCTTGCACAGGCCTTGGATACCATTCTTGGGGACGTTGTTCGACGGAAATTCGATCTCTACAAAGCAGATAGTAACGCGACAAGTCGCAGTGTCCTCGCCCTCAGCCTGAAAGACATCAATGTCCTCACTCAGCCCATTATGGACGACATCATTAGCGCATTAAAGACGTTCCTGTTCGCTGGGCACGACACGACAAGCATTTTGTTACAATGATCCTTGTATGAGCTTTCAAGCAATCCGCAAACACTTGCGCGCATGCGGAACGAACTAGATCAGGTTTTCGGCCAGAGTGCTGATCTAGATGTCCTTGAAATGATTGACAAAGGCGGAGAAGAGGTCGTTGCTCAGCTGAAGTACATGTCTGCGGTCATAAAGGAGGTTTTGCGGTTGCATCCTCCAGCTGCGACAGCGAGATACTCCCCTCCAGCAACCGGATTCCACTTGGTTTTACCTGATGGTAGCCGTATTTGCGCCGATGACTTGATGCTATACAACTGCAATTACTTGACCCATCGAGACCCGCAGGTCTACGGGGAAACAAAGGACTATTTCGTCCCGGAAAGATGGCTTGATGTGTCAGCTACCGACCCCGAAGCCGGTGCCAAATTTGAGAACGGTCACATCTCCCCCTCATCTTGGAGGCCATTTGAGAGGGGACCTCGGAATTGCGTCGGGCAAGAACTAGCCAATATTGAGGCCAAGGTGATTCTTGTCGTTCTTGTCGGCCGATACGACTTCGTTAAGCAAGGACTGGGCAGTCCTATTCTCAGAGCAAATGGCGATCCACTGCTGGACGCGAAAGGAAGGCACATCACTGAGTCGGATGTCTACAATGTAAGATTGGAATGCTCAACTACCCACGCTCGCTGACCATTGAAAGTCTCGACAGATTACCGCACAGCCAGTTGATGGAATGAGAGTTAGGGCAATCCGCAGGACAATGTAGTGACATTGAGCATAAGATCGCAATTTCTTTCGCGGAACACGAGATGCCAGGTCTCATCGAGCGAGTAGCAGTTAGTTAGCTATTCACGCCAGAGTCTTCAGCGGAGAGTTGGACATTTATCTACGGTTGCTTTCAAAAGCAAAGTCCGTTCTGAACCAGAGGAAAAAGGATCCGAAGGGTTGGCCAAGGGCGCTCCATCTTCTCAATGGAATCTCACGCTGTCGTTGGCCTGTGGCAACTATGCCCACCTGACCTTCACGGCTGCCCTGCCTTCTCGAGCGTGGAAGGAGCGACTTATCTACCTGATTACATCCTAACAGTGGAGGCGCCAAGCTAGAAAGTATGACTCCAGCACACTTGGTAATTTGACGACCCACTCTGATTCCGGAAGCTTCACTTGACGGCTTCAATTGGTAATATGCGCGATGAGATTCATCGTGTCCCTATCACTGACCATGCAGTCAACGCATTCCAATGTTCAAACAAGAATCTTCATCGCTTCCAGCCCGCGCATTTGCCTCCTTATCCTTATCAAGTCTCTGTCGATGGAGCGGAAATCATCGCATGTGGGCCGGGAGGCTCAGCAATTGCAATGTTTGGGCATGAGACGCATACCTAGGGTAACTAGACTATCCCTCAACTCAGGGCAATCATCTGGATTCTTGATGATCGGATGTATGTATTAGGTTGATCTCAGGTTTTGATGCCGGCTTATCAACTAATCACCGTAGCTTTCAAGCTCATACCTAAATGAACGTATCGGGAGAGAAAGGGTGGTTGCGGAAACAAAATGGTCCCGTGCTTTCGGACTACATCCGAGTTGACTCAATCACCCGCAATATTGAGCGCAGCTTCCGGAAGCAAAATGATGAGCGGACTCTTCGTAAATACAATTCTTGAGATAAATAAGACTTTTGGGCCTGCCTGCTGGTGCTCCCATTACATCGAAGCAAAGTTCACTCAAGTTTCTCACTACCAAACACCGTACAGAGCTTGAAGCCTGCCACCATGCTCACCAGCGTCGTTATTTCCACCGCCCTGTTGGCAATGTCCCAGCCAGTTATGGCATCATGCGACTGCAATCTCAGGGTCGAAAGTCACATCAGCCCGGGATTTTCGCTGGATGTTGTGTCAACTCTGATCATTGGCTCTCAAGCTGCTGCGATAGTTGACTTGCCCCTCGCCGTTTCTGCCGCCGAAGACCTGGCTGATTGGGTCAAAAACACCACTGACAAGCCTCTACTGGCCGCCTTCACAACACATAATCATCCCGATCACTATTTGAGCGGAAAGGCCTTTCTCGAACACTTCCCCGACGCCAAGCACTACGCTACGCCTGAGACAGTGCGTGGAATCCAGAATGAGGCTCTCAACAAGGCAAGCATTCGCTCGACATGTCACAGGGCTATTGCTAACATCTTCGCTGTTTAGACTGAGTTTTGGTCCGCCGCCTACGGTCCTGGCGTCATCGCCCCCGTCCCCGCGATTCCGACCGCTTACAACTTCTCTTTCTTCACCCTCCCAGGTGACGAGAAGTGCCCGATCGAGATACTCAAGAACGTTGGTGGCGACACGATCGACTTGTCTGCTTTCTGGATTCCGTCGAGCAAGACGCTGATCGCAGGCGACGTCGTCTACGGGCACCAAATGCATGCCTGGCTCGCCGACCTTCTCACACCTGCCCTGACGGAGTCTTGGCTCACCACTCTCGACTTCATCGCGGGCCTCGGACCTAATATCGTCATCCCTGGCCATGCATTGTCAGCCGATACCTTCAGTGCTATTGCTGACGTCAATCACACGCGTGAATACGTTTCGTTCTTCCAGAAGAACATCGAAGCTAAGGGCGCCGACTTTTACACCCCACAGGAAATTTCGAAATTGATCGACGATGCTTTCCCTGGGTTAACGAACCTGACATCATCAACAACTTCGGCTACCCTTCTCAACATAACCTCTGAGAACTTCGGCCGGGGCGGACAAAGACAAGTGCATTATTTCGACTTGACTATGTATAATGACACAGAAATCCTGGATGGATGGCATTTGTAACCAACAATGCGGACATCATGAACACCTTGGTAAAGGGATAACGCATTTCTGGTTGGTCTGTTCAGGCATACAAACTGGCAATTGCGAGGGGGAATACATGGATTTTGTGGTAATCAACAAGTTGCAATAACGGCCTAGCACGCCGCCTGCCAAACGCCATGTCGATTTAGACAGTGCTTTATCGCACGCTGAATAGCAAACCTTTTCCCTTCTCACTTTCTTTTCGCAGTTTGCCGCCTTATGATCTATCATACAGTGAAAAACTACCAGCCCTCAGGTGACCTTGTTCAGCTGCCAAGAAGCTATCCAACACTCATGTTCGGAGTTAGCCCACTGCGCCGCGGCTGAACCATTGCCAATGCTGGTGGCTGGAGTTTAAAATTTGCTGCAGGCATTCTTCAAGCCACAAGTCGAGGTTTTGGACTGGCTTCATGATTTTCTTTGACTCAGGCCTTCCGCTTGCATGTATTGCAGCTCTTCCCCCTCGCTTATCGTGGCTTATTCAGGTCAGCTGTTCTCTTTAGACATCCTGTAAAGGTTTCTTATGACCCAGCGAGCTATTGAGCTACAACCGAGATCTTGTTCTCTTATAGCAGTGCTGCGTCCTACCCAAAATGAGCTTTTTGAATCTTGTTTTTTGCACTTTCCTGAACATCAGATTCTGAGGGAACCTATTTGCCGCTATGAAGCCTTCGCAAGCACTTCTTGTAATTGTGTCCTTGGCGGCCTCAGCTTGGGCGCAAAGCAACACGCCCTCCCCACCACAAGAGGCAGCCTCCTCTCAGGCACGTCAGCCGGAAACCTCAGCAGCCAGCGCTCCAGCATCATCAGTCGCGAGGCCGCCCGCGTCAGCTAGTTCGCCCAGTAAGTGCAATCAGCGCCATTTTCCCCATGTTTCTAGACTGATCCGATTGCATCAGATGTAGATGTCCCACCCCCAGCCAGCTCCGCCCGATCAAACCCCCAAGAAACAACCGCTGCCGTAAGTCAACCTGTGCCGAAGACGCCAGGAAACTCGCCCAAAGCGACATCCGAAGCTGTGCAAGTTGCCGCCTCTTCGAAGGGAAACGACCGGACAGTCGATTCGCCGTCACCTAGTGTCGTCAACGTAAACCCGGACAACTCTAACAACCCGCAGGCCACCCGGGCCCCGTCCATCTCTGTCCAAGGAGGGGCGACAAGCACCGGAGCTGCATCCGCTGCTTTAACCACCAGCAAAACTGGGCCAGCACAACCCGGCTCACCTTCCAATGGCAATGGCACAGATAGTAGATCGGGAAGCGCGTATGGCCTTTTACTTCACGATTGCCAGGCCCTAGAGATTGACATGAAACAGATCCGGTGCCGGCGCCGGCGCAGGTGTAGCCACCGCCTCGCCGTCATCACCGAACCTCGCAACAACAGTGTCCTTCTCCGCTCAGCCCTCTGATGGATTCTCAAACGTCAACCAGTCCGTTGTCGAGAAGATGCCTGAATCGAAAACACCTACGCCACCAGATGCTTCTACGCTTGAGCAGTTCAACGCTGAGTTGACCGCTAACGTCCCCGAAAAGGCTATATCTCAAAAGAATGCGAAGGCTCTAGCTATCTTGGAGACAGCCTACTTTGAGTATTTCGTCAATAAGGACCCTGCACCGGTAGACATGGGAAGGATCGCAATACCCGCTAGCATCTCTCAGTGCCAGACACAGTATGCAAGGAGTCTAGTGAAGAGAAACAGCGTCGTCGACGAGATTCTGAGCTATGTCCCTCTCCTGTCAAGAGATCTCCGTGGCTTTGACAATTGCAAGGCTGTCGACTCTTTGGAGGTTGGAGTCTACTTCCACTACATGAGAGCCACATCAACCGCCGACAGACCCAACGAGCTGGAGTCTCGAGTGAAAGCCCAGGTAAGAGAGAGAGTCGTCGAATCTCCGAGACTTCCGCGAGAGCTGACAGCGCATGTGCAAGGTCGACGTCCTCAACGAAGCGCTAGGCGCAATCAAGATCAACTTTCGCTACATGTCCCTGAACTGGTGGGAGCCCAAGGCCGGCGAAGACTGGTCCGTCACCACACGCAGAGAAGCCAAACTGCAAGACTGGCAGCAGCGCACCCGTGCCCCGGGAAAGCTCACTCTAACAGTGTGGCTTGTGAACGGGCTTCGCGGGAGCCAAAACGACGATCTCAATAGCGTAAGCGTTGCCCCTTTTCTCGCGACCGGCCCTGGCTAAGGGAGGAGTTCACGCTAACTTGTCGCGCCTGTCACGGATAGTACGCCACCTTTCCCAACGAGAACTTGGACGCGAATGACGGCATCGTGATTGAGGCCGCGCATGTCCAGGGCGGAGATTCTACTACGCTCGTTCACGACGTCGGACACTGGTTAGGGTTGGGACACACATTTGGCGATGTCGGGGCTCAGTGCGCCAGCCAGGACGGGTTGACGAACGCGACGCAAACATCGGGTATGAAAGACGTGGTTTACGAATGTTCCCAAGTCCCTTGCTCTGGAGGGAGCGCGGTTGAGATAAACAACTACATGAGTGTAAGCGATCCCCGTTTCCGACGTTTCGGCATCACCCACGTGCGATTGAAGATGAGTTGCAACGGGCTGACGCGTCAAACAGTACTCCTCATGTCGCGGCAACACTCCGCAGGACGGGTTCACGACGGACCAGAAGGCGCGGATGTTTGCCAATGCGCTGCAGTTCCGTCGCGGGTACGAGGCGGGAGAGTGCATGCCGGACGGCAAGGCGGCTGTGCGGAAACGGTCTAGCATGCAGGATTTGTTGGATGGCAAGTGCCCTGACGTTGACAAACAAGCCAATATCCTGATGGACGCGCCTCATAGTCTGAGCGCAAGGACGCACGGATTGTCAAAGATGGGATGGGCTGTTCTTGCAGGGTGGTGGGCGGTGACACTGGTCATGTAGGTAGGAGATTGGACGAGTTCTTGACTGATGTTTTT